TTCACGGATTTACTGTGGTCACTCTATTCCAAATGTGTGTTTGAAAGATTCAGTAAATGTCCTGTGACGATCGGGAAAATCAGAAGCGTACTACATTTAAATATCCTTCAACAAGTTTTATTGAATAACATTCAATGGAATCAAACATTCACATGAAGTCTCCGCTGCCAGGCTCTGAAAAGGTAAAAGACGCCAAAATTTTATTAAGATTCTTAAAATGAACTATTCATACTTTTAAATGAACGTGTTGGAGACAGGTGACAGACATGAAAAGGAAGCCAGTTGTCCCAGATTACACGTATGGAAGTCATCGAAAGTGGGGAATATATATAGACCTAATCAGTTGTGGTGTATGTTTTCTCATTACAGACCACGCGTGTCATTCCCTAGCGCATCATTTCTTTGTTTAACGGATGTTTAACCAATATACTTGCTTTTTTTGGTTTGAAGCTGATGGGTCAGTCTCTCTTGAACTCCGAGTTCTGGTAAGTCATTCTAGCATCAGAGGAATTCAACACCGATCGTGCGAACCTGCACGGTTACTGGCAATTGTTTAATGTAAACTAGACTTCTTTACCTTGGGCGTAATGTTATCCCATTTTACCACGTGTCATTCCCTAGAGTATCATTTCTTTGTTTAACGGTTGTGCACCAGAAGACACATGAATATGGATACAATTCAAATAAAGAATCTTCTTCTCAAGGGAATGACATGTGGTCTGAAATGGAGAAACCTTAGTGCCCAACGTAAGTAGACCATTTTGGAATTAGTCAAATACCCGCTTTGTTTCTTGATTACAGACTCATTTACTCAGGGTTAGCCTCGTATCAGAGTCCAAATATTCACAAATACCAACGGTAAAGTAAAGAATGGACAACTTCAACAATACAAGCACTTTGAAATTCCACGGACCTTGACTGGATCACGTGAATATTATGAATATTTCCATACGAAATGGAGACTAACTCTGAGCAACAGAAAATTCAAAAACTTGAAACTGGTGTATTTCCTACTTTCGACGTGCTCCGCGCGCGCGCGTTCCTCGTACCTACCTGTCGGACAGTCCACATTGTGAGGCCAGTCACAGACCTTCAGTTTAGGGTTAAAAAGTGTTCCAGTAGGGCAGTTCTTTCGTGCTGTCCTGTTGTTATGACAATGAATAAAACCCTTGCATGTCTCTGGGTCAGGGTAGATACCATCTGGACGTGATGCACAGAAATCTAAATAATGAATACGTAGACTATTAGCGATAGAGTCCTTTAAGCTATGACGTATTTGTTTTCGCGTCTATTTGCTCATGAAACTCTATAAATTAAGTGAAATGTTCTGATTAATTTAGCCTCCATCTGAACATCTAGCATTTAATTAGAAAAGAAAGCTTTCTTTATACAATAAGCCTGAAGCGAGATGACGTTTTACCCCCGACTCTAAACCATAATAGTTTTTAAAATTCTTTCATATTAAAATTTTGATTCCTTAGAGAATACAGGAACAATAGTCATAATTAAAGAACAAAAGCAATGTGAAAAGGATTATGGTCTAGAGACGGAGGTAAAACGTCATCTCGCTTCAGGCTTATTTATAAATCTTTATACAACTGCTTTTCATTTGAGACCCAGAAGTTGCGTTTTCGAATTGGCTTTGCAGTGCACTTTGAGACGGTTTTAGGGGCCAAAAACAAAAACAAAAACAAAAAAAAAAAAAAAAAAAAAAAAAAAAAAAAAAAGGCACTAATTTCATCCCCGAAACGGTCCCATGATGTGGTTAGTTTATTCCATGATTAGACCATCTTTAGACCATGATTGGATGATTTACCTGGGCACGTGACGTTTTCTGGCCAATCACAATATTTTGTCTTGGGATTGAAATTGAGTCCTTTCGGGCACTTTTGGAAGAAAATCCTACCGTCCCAACAATTGATAAAACCACTGCAGTCATTGGGATCTTGATACAGACCGTTCTTCTGTCCCTTACAACTGAAACCTATCGAAATCAAAATGAAAATCAAAATTGAAATCAAAAACGAAATCGAAATTGAAATTGAAATCAAAATTGAAATTGAAATCGAAATCGAAATCTAAATTGCAATCGAAATCATAAAAAATAAATAGAATGTTCAACTTAAAGAATAAAAATATAGCATACAAATAAGTTGGGATGTTGGGAGAACACTCGAGAAGCTGGAAACCACTCCGCTGCGCGTCGTGGTTTCCTACGCTCCGCTCGTGTTCTCTCAACATCCCGCGTGTTTTGATCAGAGTGTCAAACACGGAAAACTGTTTTTGATTTGTTAACTAAAACCACTACCTAAACTGACATCAAATAGAAAATAAAAAAATATATTGAAATAATCGGAATTTAAAAAATAAAACTGAAAATGATAGAAATAAAGATGAAATTAATTTTAAATTTTGAAAAACTCTCAAATAGCTAGAAAGGTGTTTACTCGTGTCTTTACCTATATTTTGAATAACGAATAACGATCGCGAATAATTCGTACGGGTGTCGTCAGAAATTGTATTGCGTGACATTTCCCGCCGTGAGTACGAGAGAGAAAAATGTTGATAAATACTCCCGTACGAATAACAACCACGAATTATTCGTACGGGAGTGAAGAATGTTGGTAAATATTCGCTGAACAGACTCCCGTACGAATAACAA